GTTTTGTTGCCTGCGTGAGAGGCCGTGTGCTATTTTTTTGGTGTGTGCACGGCTGTCACGCGGTGCCGCGGTAATGCATGTAATGGTGTCGTCTTTTCCTCCGTTGTCTTGGCCTTATATGGGATACTTGCGGCGCAGGTGATAACCCCGCGTCTGCGGGTGTAAATCAGCGGTTCGCCTCTACTCCAGTCTCCTGTCGTGTGATGCTTGCGTATTAAAATGGAATACCCAAGAAGCTAGATCATCCATGCCCCTGTATCCATTCTCACCTCTTGCATCTCAGTCGCATTCCCATTACCATGTCACTGTCATCCATTTTCCCATCCGCACGGATCTCTCATTTGCCCATCTCAAGCTATCCTCCCACTCCCCATATCCGATCTCTATCCCTTTCATGCACGGCAGGGTCGCAACGAACGAGACAAGCTGCGAAAGGGTCATTCATATGTTTTTCCTTTCAGGATTCTCTCGCGGTTTCACCGTTGATCCCTGCATCACCTTATTTTCTTCCTCTTCCCTAGGGCTCGTTAACGCTATGACCCATTCCGTGGTATACGCTCCGGCCGTACGGATGCACATTGAATCAGTGCGCCCGTAACATGATCCTTGTGAGTGCCAAACAGGTTCACATCTGTTATGCAAGATTTAGCGAATGGACCCAACAGGAGTGTTGAGTCTGGTATCAGTCCAACGAACGTGCATACACGCGACAAACGGCCAAGGTTTCAATCTCATATTAAATCAACATTGGGCTTTGCGCATTTCAGGATTAAAGTTTGTCTTTCGTAGCAGGTATGGAACATAGCTATAAATTTACTACAAGAGTTTCAATGTTTCGTTAGTGTCATGTGTAATATGAATTTATCTTCAATGATGTGGTTATGTTCGTCTCACGCGGCGGGAAAAAAAATGGCATAATCAAACGAAAACCGAACAAAATTTATAAATCTGTTCGTTGACATGGACAATTTCTTATTCTTTCTCACGCAAAAGCAGCGGTCGAATTACCGTAATATCTAAATTATACGTGTGGAGTAAGAGTTTTAAAGTTTTAAGCTAAGTAACATGCTAGCGCCAATTTATGTCTAGCGCTTCCTTAAGTGTGCTTGCTGTTTATTTTAATACACCTCTATTATCCAACAATCAACTGTGTTCGATATAACTTGGGCCGCAGAGCATAACATATAGTAATTGTGGGATGTGTGGGGGTGGGGTGTGTGTCCGTAAAGGCGGCTCTATCCGAACCTTAGCGTACGCGTTTAATTTCTTATTAAAATTCCATTGGCCTTATTGTACAACTCTGATTTTCTCCTTTCCGTTCTTAGTTATAGAGCCTCGCCGGATCCGTCGATTCCAATATCTATGCAATTGCTCTAGCGAGGACAGCGTATCGAATGGCCTAGTCACGTCATACGAGTTCATTCCAATCCTGCGATAGATATTTCCGCGCATCTTGTTTTCCCAGCTTATGACTTTGCTGTACGGGTGATGGTGCAAGCTTTCCGGGTATCCCTGTGGAGCCATTTCCCCGTACCGGTAGTGGTGTTCGCAGTGTGCATTGCCTTGCAATTTATAGAAACTTGTGGTTCGTAGTGGTTGGTGCTGTGTACAGTATATTTACGGATGGGTGGTTTGTCTCGATAAAGAACACGCCGCCTGTTTGAGCGGTGTGTATTTAAAGACTTCGGAGATGTACTCGTTTTAAGGCAGCGCAAAATAAAGCCGCCACAGCTCGTCCGTTGCGACCTTGGCCTACTGGGGGTCGCGACACCCGAGCTCACATGGCGCCCACCTCGGGTGCACAATGGGTTACACCATTAACTATCATACTGTAGCTATCCGAGACTCCGCTGAATAGGAGGACAGGCCGACGGCGCGGTGGATCTGCGGGGGAGAGAACAGGGATCCCGACAGAGAAGCTGACAGGCGACGATGAGATGATGATAGAGACGCGGAGTTGCGACCTCGGCGAGAGGGAGAGAGAGTGGGAAGAGAGTGAGCAGAGGAGTAGACACATTCGAGAGATCCGATCTCGCATTCACGAGCGACTCGACGAGGGGAGAGGAGTGAAGAGAGACTGATTGAAGCGAAGAGAGAAGCTCGCGCTAGAGCCGACGAGCTCGTGAGACTCCGAGACGAGAGCGAAGGCAGAGATGAGATCAGGGAGAATGCTGATGTCGATTGTAGAAGAGAGGAGACGGAGAGGAGAGAGAAGAGATGAGAAGATACGAGAGAGAAAATATAGTATAGAAGAATATTTCGAGGTGACATTCTTATGCCAATATATAGGGACTGATGAGTTACTCACCAAGCGCCGTACTGATGTCATTAACGGGATTGAGCCCCACAACTTGTAGCCGTTCCCGGCTACTTCATCTGTGCGAGTCTGCGCCCACCTGCTGCACGCTGACCCTCGCCGACCTGCCCCGTTGTTCGTGCCACGCGGTAATAGTCATGTCTATTGCATATGTCACTCCCCAAACCGTGTGGAATTCGACAAATGTTACCGAGGTGTGATCTATAAAACAAATATTATAGGGCTGTTGTGGTGTTGTAGTGGATGTGTGTGTGTGTGTGTGTGGTCGATCTGTGCAATTGGATCGTGTCAAACTAATGTTGGTGCGCAGTCACGCGGAGAAGTGTAACCGTGTGTCGGCGAGGCCCGTGTGTGTGTGTGTGTGTGCGTGGTTGGGTGCTGAAATGTGTGTGTTGCTGGTCTGTGTGTATTGTCTGTGTGTTGGTGATCAGATCTCTCTTTTCTCTCCTTCCGAAGGCCCCCTTGTCACTCTTTCGCTGTCTCCGTCTCACTTTCTCTCCACGGCCCCCCTTGTCTCCGTTGTCAGCTGAGATCCACACAAGACATACCGACAGTACAACTACACGCCACACATCTCACCACACACGCCCACCACCACCACAGAACACCACCTCGTGCGGCACACCACACACCCACACACAGGACACACACACACACAACCTTACACATCTTACCACACACTCGAACTCCACCACACACCCACCTTACCTAGTTTTTGTTTCTTAGTCACACCATCCGCTAACATTGTCGAATTTCCACACAGGCTGTTTTGGAGTGAATTCAGGCATGACATGCATCTATTTACGCCGTCGTGCGCGACGAACAAGGGCAGGTCGGCTACGGCGCGTTCATGTCGGCAGCAGGTGGGCGGCAGACTCGCACAGCGATCAGTGCAGCGGGAACGCTACGTGTGGGGCGTAATTCCTGTTAATGACATCTAGTGCGATTGGGTGAGTAACATCGCTCCAGGCCCTTCTGTCACTATTGGCATAAGATGGTCATCTGCAAATATCTCCTCTGCCCCTACTCTATAGTCTTCTCTATTCTCTCTCTCTCTCTCTCTCTCTCTCCTCTCTCCTCTCTCGTCGCCTTCTCTCTCTCTTTGCTTCGCTCTCTCTCTCCTCTTCTCTCTTCTCTCTCTCTCTTCTCTCTCTCTCTCTTTCCTCTATCCGCTCCTGTCCTCTCGCTCTCGTCTCTCTCCTCTCTCTTCGTCCTTCTCTCTCGCTGCTCTCCTCTCTTTCTCCTCTCTCTGTCTGTCTTCTCCTCTTCTCTCTCTCTCCGTCCTTCCTTCTCCTTCTCTCTCTACCCTACAATGATGATATATATGTGCATACGCGTTTAGAGACGTACTCGTCCATACTACGCGCGGAAGTTCCGCTTTTCTCAGTCACACAATCGCTCAGGCCGTCGGTGTTCTCCTCGAGCACGCCATACCACCTATCCTGTATCTACATCGTACCACACTCAGCGTAACACCATTTCTATCTATTGAGGCATCCACACCTTGGCGCCACTTACGCGCACGCGAATGGCCTCAGCGTACTCGGATAGCTCTCGCACCGCATCATCCCGCTGCAGCGACGCAAGGGGTATAGTCTCGTCTGCGGCAAACAAATGCGCGCGGAGAAGATCCTCACTCCGCGGATTGGATATCAGAACTCCGCTATGACGTGACTAGGCCATTCGATACGTGTCTCGCTTAGACATTCGACAGATATAGGGAATCGAAACGGAATCGAGCTCTTATAAAACTAAGAAAGGAAAGGAAGGACAAGCAGAGTTTGGAAATAGGGCAATTGGGGAAATTTAATAAGAAAATTAGGAAGATCGCGATTAGCTAATGTTTCGATAGAGGCGCCTTTACGACATATACAAATTACTATAGTGGTTTATGAGCTCTGCGCACAAGTTTATATTCGCACAATAATTGTTGGGTAATAGAGGTGTATTAAGATGATAACAAACACATGTAACGGATGCGCTAGACATATAAATGCGCTAGCATTTTAGCTTATGCTTAAAAGCTTAAAATCTTAAATTCCACGTATATATTTAGATATTACGGTATTCTTTTGCGAGAAATAAAGAAATTTGTCATGTTCACGACATTATTGTGTCAGGTTTTCTTTTTATTCATTGATTTTTTACCGCCGAATGAGTCGAAAATAAGCCACATCATTGAAAGTAGAAGTTCATATTACACATATACGAACATTGAATGATTGTAATTATAATAGTTATAGCTATTTCACTGCTACGAACAAATTTAATGTTTGAAATGCGCTAATGCGCCATTTTGATTTAAATTGAATTGAATCGCTTGGCGCGTTTGTCGCGTGTATGTCACGTGACTGATAATGACTCAACACTCATTCTGCTAAATCTTCAATGAAACCTGTTGCGACCTCACAAGGTCATGTTACGGGCGCAGTGATTCAAGTTGATCACGTGACGATGACCACGGGAAGGTGGGTTGCATGGTTAACCTGAGGGGAGCGGAAGAAAATAAGGGGAGTGAGGATACGTGAACCGCGAGATAAAAGGAAGAAAAATAAGGAATGCTCCTTTTCGCCTTGTCTCGTTCTTGCGCGCCTCCTTCCAGTTGAGGTCGCCTCCTTCCAGCCTGCTCGTTCAACCCCTTTAGATTTCCTCCTTCTCGCTTAGCCCTCCCATTCTCCATTCGCCTTACATTCTCCTTATTCTTATGCCCAATACTATTTGTGCTATCCTATCGCCCCCACCTATTATGGTCGTGTCTATATAATGCGTACCACTAAAGCCTGCGAGACAGACGTGTTCGCATCTAACTACTCGGTGTTCGCGATGGGGTGAGTTTGGTTTTCCCTTGGCGAAAAAAAGCCTATTTAATCTAGTGTCTTTTGTGTGTGGTTATAACATATGTATTACGTGCGTGTGTGCGTGCCGTGCGTGCGTGCGTGCGTGCTAGATTGTGTGTGTGTGGCTGTCTGGGTACGTGCCGTGCGTGCGTACGTACGTTTGTGCCGTGCGTGCCGTGCGTGCCGTGCGTGCGTGCGTGCGTGCTTACTTGTGTGTTTATGAGTGCGTGTGTGTTGCGGCTGTAGTCTTGCGTGCGCGCGTGCGTGTATGTGTAGATTTAATGTTTTCCGTGGGGAGTGTACGTGGCTCTCGTGGGCAGACGCTTACGAGATAGTGCGTGGCACTAAACATAGACTAGAACATAAAAAAGTGACACGTATGCAGACTTAAATAAATAAACACGCGGAAGGTGGTTGCATGGTTCCTGAGGGGAGAGGAAGAAAATAAGGGGAGTGAGGATACGTGACGCGAGCATAAAAGGAAGAAAAATAAGGAATGCTCCTTTTCGCCTTGTCTCGTTCTTGCGCGCCTCCTTCCAGTTGAGGTTGCCTCCTTCCAGCCTGCTCGTTCAACCCCTTTAGATTTCCTCCTTCTCGCTTAGCCCTCCCATTCTCCATTCGCCTTACATTCTCCTTATTCTTATGCCAATACTATGTGTGCTATCCTATCGCCCCCACCTATTATGGTCGTGTCTATATAATGCGTACCACTAAAGCCTGCGAGACAGAGTGGTTCGCAGTCTAACTACTGCGTGTTCGCGATGGGTGAGTTTCGTTTACCTTGGCGGAAAAAAGCCTATTTAATCTAGTGTCTATTGTGTGTGGCTTATAACATATGTATACGCGCGTGCGTGCGTGCCGTGCGCTTCGTGCGTTCGTGCGTGCTAGATGTGTGTGTGGCTGTCTGGGTGCGTGCCGGTGTGCGTACGTACGTGCCGTGCGTGCGCGTGCGCTGGCGTGCGCTGCTTGCGTGCTTGCGTGCTGCTTACTTGTGTGTGTTATGAGTGCGTGTGTGTTGCGGCTGTAGTCTTGCGCGCGCGCGTGCGTGGATGTGTTAGATTAGATTTTTTCCGTGGGGAGTGTACGTGGCTCCGTGCGGCAGACGCTTACGAGATAGTGTCGTGGCACTAACATAGACTAGAACATAAAAAGTGAAACGTATGCAGACTTAATAAATAAAAAATAAATATATATATATATATATATATATATATATATTATACACTAGAGAAAAATATGCGCGATCAGGTTCGATGCAATAACTGCATTGAATACTGATCTCAAGACCTGACCCACGAGTTCAATTTATTAGACATTTTGCTCAACTACAGCGATAATGTTAACCGGTTATGAGGGTTTGCGTTTAGCGGTGTATGGTGGTTTGATTTAGATTTAGGTTTTTTTCAGAAAACACGCTGAAATTTTCAACATCTTTTTTTTCTTTGTTTTACCTTATATTTACGTAAGTATATCCTAGATGTTCGTATGATTTCTTAGAGAGATTAAAAATCAACATCGCATCGGCTTTATGCGAGCAGTAGTTACCTTAGAATTAACATCGTGCGCTAGCTGGGATTCGTAAATCAATAGAAGACTCACATTAACGCTGCATCTTCATTACAGAGTGTTGGCATCTGCTGCTTTGCTGCTCATTCTCACACGCTTCTACGAAGTCGACGGAGCTTCCGGTAAGCTCTCACTCTTTTTTCTATTTGAGGTTGGAGGAATTTTATTTGCGAGATAAATCTAGGTATATTGTCGTGCTAGCTTCTGTTTTACAGAGGCGGTTATACTAGACTGCTTGTAGAAACTGACAATGTAATATCGTAAGATCTTATACATATATAGTGGATTTATCGCAAAAGAATTAGTTGCAAACACATAACGTAAACGGTAAATAACGTCTTGACGTAATTAGATAAATTTATTCCGATATTATGGAATGTGCCTAGTGCACACACCCGAGCAAAACACCCTGAACGTGGAGCAAAACGTGTTTCCGCTCGATGTTCGTGGCTCCGTGTGCGGATTCCCAAACAAAAAAACATCTGCCATCTGAGCCGTGGTCGGCTGAAAAGCCAACGTTTGACTTCGCGGAGCGTGTTTCGCCCTCAGCGTACGTTTGCTCGGGTTGTGTGCGTCAATCGTCTCTCGTGCTACACAGCGAACGCCACACGCGGTCGTGCCAATCAATATCCGTGCTAAAAATATCACATGAACAAAAATTGGACGATGCCATGGATGGCTATTTGTTGACCTTGTCATTGTGACAAGCGGCGCTGTACGCAGTGTTTTTGTATGTTTGCCTCAGCTGCTGTGCATGTGATCGGGTGGCGTGTGTGTGCGCTTGCTCGCCGAGCAGAACGCGAAAACGCTGGAAAACTAAAATTTTCCCGTTTGCTCGGGTGTGTGCGTTAGTTAAGAATATTCGGACGAACGAACAAGTCTCTGGACGAAAAGTAACGCGCTCATGCACGCACACGCCACGCAGACACACGTAACACACGCACGCATACGCCACGCACGCACGCACGCACACGCATACACACACGCCACGCACGCATACACACGCACGCACGCGTACACACGCACGCACGCGTACACACGCACGCATACGCCCCCCTACAACACGCACGTACACGTACACACGCACGCACGCGTTACACTCGCCACGCACGCGTACACTCGCACCGCACGCGTACACACGCACGCCCATACGTACACACGCACGCCATAGTACACACGCACGCACGCGTACACACGCACGCCATGCGACACACACACGCATACGTACAACACGCACGCACGCGTACACACGCACGCATACGTAGACGTGCAGATGCAGACGAAGACGCATGCGCGTCTACGCATGCGCACTCGTCCACGCAGACTCAGGCGTACACGCGTGAAATAATAATAATAATAATAATAATAATAATAATATTGTTATTATGAATATTAATTAAAAATAAAATAAATAATAAATAATGAAATATAATGATAAAATAAATAATATTTGTAAAAATCGTAATTTGAAAGTCTATCACAATCGCTATAGGTACAAAGTGGGCGGAAGTGTCTGGTAGATTGCAGAGCGTGGGAATCGGTGATTCAGGTGTGTGGGGCGTAACTGCAAACAGTGCCATCTTCTTCAGGAGAGGCACCCAGGTACGTAGCGCGCCGTCAATATTGTAATTCTCCGCCTTCTTCTCTAGTTAATTACAAATTTTAAAGATTTTTTCTGGAACCCGGAGTAGTGGTTATCGATCGATTTTATCGACTTTCTCTCTCTCTCTCTCTCTCTCACACTCTCACGCTCTCACACTCTCACACGTGCTCATGCCTGCTCATTGCTCCGCACTCTCGCACTCTCGCACTCTCGCCACTCTCGCACTCCTCTCTCTCTCATCCACTCTCTCCCTCTCTCCCTCTTCCCTCTCTCCCTCTCTCCCTCTCTCCCTCTCTCCCTCTCTCCCTGCTCTCCTCTCTCTACTCCTCTCACTCTCTCACTTCTCACTCTCTCATCTCTCTCACTCTCTCTCACTCTTCTCACTCTGCTCCACTCTACTCACTCTCTCACTCACTCTCCCACTCTCCCCCTCCATCTATCTAACACTCTCTCACTCACTCACTCTCTCACTCTTCACT